GAGAGACCAGTCAAAGACAAAAAACGCAGGCCAACCACTGATATTCAAGAACAGAGGAACTCTTGAATAGACCAGCTCCACTGAAACCACCGGACATTGAACCAGCACACACAGATTTTCCTACAGATGTCACTCTACCAACGACCGGAGAAATCAGGATGGCCATCAGACAAATCAAGAACGGGAAAGCAGCAGGACCTGACAATATACCAGCTGAAGCACTGAAGTCAGACATCGAAGTAACTACAAACATGCTTTACCTTCTATTCAAAAAGATTTAGGAGGAACAAGTGCTGATGAACTGGAAAGAAGGACACCTCGTCAAGATTCCAAAGAAAGGAGATCTGAGCAAATGTGAAAACTACAGAGGCATCGCATTACTGTCAGTACCAAGAAAAGTCTTTAACAGAGTGTTGCTGAACCGGATGAAAGATGCAGTAGACGTCCAACTTCGAGATCAACATGCTAGATTCCGTAAAGTTCGGTCGTGCACGGACCAAATTGCAACACTACGGATCATCGTCGAACAATCAGTTGAGTGGAACTCGTCACCATACATCAACTTCATTGATTATGAAAAGGCGCTTGACAGTGTACATAGGAGAACATTATGGAAAATTCTTCGACACTATGGAGTGAGTACCTGAGAAGATTGTCAACATCATCCGGAACTCATACGACGAACTACAGTGCAAAGTAGTGCATGGAGGACAGCTGACAGATGCATTGTAAGTAAGGACCAGAGTCAGACAAGGCTGTCTACTCTTATCCTTCCTTTCTTCTGGTGGTCGACTGGATTATGAAGACCTCGACATCTGAGGGAAAACACGGAATACAATGGACAGACCCGAACCAATTAGACGATTTGGACTTCCACAGATTACCTAGCCCTCCTACCCCATACACACGACAACCAGTGTAGCAGCAGTCTCTGTATCAGTAGGCCTCAACATACACAAGGGAGAAAGCAACATCCTCAACTATAACACGGAGAATACCAACCCAGTCACACTTGATGGCGAAACTATGAAAGATGTAGAATCCTTCATATACCTGGGAAGCATCATCGATGAACAAGGAGGATCAGATGCAGACGTAAAGGCGAGGATTGGCAAAGCAAGGGTCGCATTCCTACAATTGAAGAACGTATGGAACTCAAAACAACTGTCAACCAATATCATAGTCAGAATCTTCAATACGAACGTCAAGGCAGTTCTACTGTACGGAGCTGAAACTTGGAGAACTACAACAACTACCATCAAGAAGGTACAAGTATTCATAAACAATTGTCTACGTAAGACAGTGTCCGCTGGCCTGGTGCCATTAGCAACAGCCTTTTATGGGAGAGAACAAATCAGCTTCCAGCTGAAGAGGAAATTAGGAAAAGACGATGGAAATGGATAGGACATACATTACGCAAATCATCAAACTGCATCACGAGACAAGCCCTAACTTGGAATCCTGAAGGGAAGCGGAAAAGAGCATACTGTGTCGAGAATTGGAAGCAGACATGCAAAGGATGAATAACAACTGGAAGGAGCTGGAAAGGATCGCTCAGGACAGGGTTGGATGGCGAGTGCTGGTGGGCGACATGTGCTCCTCCACGAGGAGCAACAGACGTAATAAAGTTGGCTATCATCAAGTACCTAGCCTGTCTTGAGTGCTGTTAGAGGTATGAGGGCGGTTATCACTTCCCGGTTGCCCACACCGTGGAAGGGTTTTTCTGGAGGTACCTGAAAAGGAAATTCGATTAGAGGTGGTCTTAGTGACCTGAGCTTCACCACAGAGCCCAGGAGACAACTGCTTGAGGTCGGTCATACACGACCTTTTTATTGGTGATTTTTGTGTTAGCTCCGTACTTGTTGAGACCTTACCGCCGGAGACGGATATCCGTGGGATAAGGCGAGGTGTGCATTTTTAGGGTCGACCCTTTCTAGCCCCACCCCTCCTTGTGGGAAAGCGGCATCGCTGTCATGCTGGTTGTCTGAAGGAAACACTTTACTGCTGTCACACCTCTGTACAGTCAGCAGTACGACTTCGCCTTCGGACCTTAGGTTTGTTGCTTTTAGTCTTACCACTCTTCAACCGACCTGTCTGACATGTGCCTGGTCCTACGTTGTAGCTGACTGACTGACCTAGCCTGTCGTATGCCCTGATGGCGTTCTTATAACTTTCGGATCGCCTGATCTGCCAAGGGCGATGGGACAGTGTATGATGCTATTGTTGTGTGCTAGGTTCAAAGAGAATTGTATGCTATATGCATGCAAATCCGCCCCGTTATTGTTCCTATTTAGCCCCCGAATGCCCTGGTATGGCCGAGAGTGGGGAGAGTCCGCTCTCCCTCTCGAAATGCTCTCACATGGCCACGCATTTACAGCCGCTGTCAGGGAAGTCGTACTCACTACCTTCTCGTGGTGGGGGTTGTTCACGAAAATGAGAGGACGAAAAGCGAATGTCCGGCGCTTCAACCGGATTCGAAACCAATAGTGCACATGGGCTCTAGGATCCTGCGGGAACAAATGGCGTGTGAACCAATCGTTGGTCACCGGCTTCCATGGGACTGCATCTCCTTACGATGCTCCACTGCCTTGTGGGTCAGACCTTCAGGTCGAAGGCTCGGGGAGTGCCCCCCTAAGAAAAGCACATGCTTCGGTTTGGGCACTGGGGCAGTATCACAGCCCTCACACATATCGAATGACATTTGTGTAGCCCATATATATTTGGTGCTTCCTTGTTACAATATCTATGTGTTAAAATAAATAATAAATCATCAAGTAGAACCCTAAGAGATTTCCACTCAGCGTCTTTCTCACGTCCAATAAGACACAGACAAATACGCGCTTGCACTAGAGCATGATCTGAATCTCAGCATGTGATCCAGAATGAGCGGCAGTCTTCTATCGAGCCCCTTCATTGGTGGCTGATAGCGATGTGATCCATTTGGGTCTAACATTGGGACGAATTAGGGGGTCGCCATGTTAAAAGATGTTTTTCCTTATGCTTAAAGTTAGTATTTGCAAGAAACAGGTGGTTATCTGAGAATAGCTGCAACAGACGGTTGCCATTTTCTGTTTTTTGAGCCACGACTGCATAAGATCCATCCAGGTATCTTTCCCTTTCGCTTAGTTTACCTACTTGAGCATTAAAGTCACCAGTCACTATTACTACATCAAAGCGCCTACCTTTTCGGAGAAGGTCGGAAATCTTTCTGTAAAACTCTTTTACATTATCTGAGCTGCAGTCAGTGGGAGAATAGGCAGAGACGACGAAGAGGCAACGACGAGTGTCCCTATCGTTCCGAGTCCTTACTGTTCCGTTTGGTCGGACAGCGCACAAGTGACTGTCTACTGGGACCCAGTAGAAGACAGCTAGTTCTAGTTCTGCCCTAGGATTCAATGCTATACACACATTAGCGAGACCATGGGAAGCAGCATCGGAGATTCCAGACACACGAAGCGTGAATCGAGTTGGTTCTTTATTTTGACATAGTGAGGTCAAATGAATGACGCTACTCGAATCCTGTACGTGCGTTTCAGAGACGCAGCACACACCGATGGCACCAAATTCCAAAGTCCAAGCTAAGTAAGCCTGTTGTTCTATTTCGCACAGCGTTTGGACGTTGAAAGCTCCTAGGTGTAGTCTAGAGCGTAGTTTCAGGAGACCAGGAATAACGTCCCGCGTACTCGAATCGTTTGCCCTAGCGGTGCAAGGTGATAAAGGGACGTGAGAAAGGTTATTCGTGGAGGTAAGAGTTATTAGGAGGTGTAGGAAGGATTTGAATGTGACCAACTTTGTCTCTTGTGTTTTTACAGGTATGAGGGCTGATATCACCTCCCGGCTGCCCACACCGTGGAAGAGTATTTTTTGAGGAACCTGAAAAGGAAGTTGGATTAGTTTTGGTCTTAACGACCTGAAACCATGACCACAAAGTCTAACGGACAACTGCTTGAGGTCGGTCGCGCACGACCTTTGTGTGAGAGGATTTTAACGTGTTAGCTCCGTTCTTCAAAAGGCCTTATCCCCAGAAACCGAAATCCGTGAAATAAGGTGAGATGTAACATTTCTGGGTCGATCTTTTCTAACCCCTTACTTCCTTGTGAGAAGGCAGAATCGCTGCGGATGCCGGTTGTCCGGGGGAAACATCTTATTGCTGTCACACTCCTCTACAGTCAGCAGTACGACTTCGCCCTCAGACCTTGAGTTACTGCTTTTAGTCTTACCGTTCTCCAATCGACCTGCCTGGCATGGTAGAACCTACAGGAACATATGTTCTAGTCAATATAGCTCAGTTGGGTCATCACGATAGGCAATCCCGACCACCACGTCAAGGTAGAAGCTACGGTCGCACTAGCTAGCTAACACGAAAGAAAATAATTGAAGTAATCTCGTTTAACCTATTGAAGTTGGAGTTCCGAAATGGTAGCTTAGCGCAAGAATGTATTAATTAGCGACGTAACAGTATTTGACTCCATTGATAGACAGGCTTTGTGAATAAGTCTGTAATTGAAAGATCGTCTTTGGAGTACATCAACCTACGTACACCTGTTTAATCAGAAATAGCTGACAAACTTAAAGACTGTAGTGAAGCATCATCTAAATTGGCTGTGATAAGTAGTCAGTGCTGCTCACTTTTCCCACTTTTATTCAATTTTCTTACAAAGAATTTCGGAGTTAACACTTCACAGGTTTGACGTTTTCGTGATTGATTCACTCATTTACTTATATACTATGTGTATGATATACCTGTTTGGAAGACTCAGACTTAAGAAATACACTGAGATTTTTACATAACTTTGAAGTCCCATTAAGCCTAGTAGGTTGGTAAATGTCATGATTTTAATGCGGATAGAAAAACCCTGTCCGGTTTCCGCCATAACCTGTGACGTAGGACACTTGTTTGGCTATCAAAGGGGAGGAGAGCAGCAATCTAATAAGTTTTAATTTAACTGCGAAGCATTCTTTTTGAAGGTAGGAGACGCAATTTAACACTTTCTCGGATATGGCGAAATAACTCAGTAAATTATGTTGCGGTTAAACGTAAGGTTCTAAAATAAAATGCCGAACTGGTTGATGAGGCTGTACATTCTCATCCACTGAGCTGGCTGATACATGCATTACACAGAAAACGAATACTCGTTTGCAATCATAGATGGCAAGGAAGCTACTAGTGGCCAAGCTAAAACGTTGCATCATTCTATGAAGTCAATGACAAAGGGTAGGTAAAGTAGCTGATGGAAATGAAGGGAATAATTCCGATCAACTGTTACATAAAGTGACAGCTCAAAATCGACAGGAATGGTGGATTTGCTCTCAACTGTTCTTAAGGTCACTACAAATTAGTGGTAAGTGGTTGAAAAATTCAATACTGTAAAACACAATACCTCCCCCTCACTGATGATATATTAATCTGTTTGATATCAGAACGGTCAACGTGATCAGAATAATCAATACTGTACTTTACTTGTAAATGTGAATGAATTTAAAATTCGCTTTATTACATTTCACTTCAGGTTAGTCATTATTCTCAATCAACGTTGAAGTGGGCAGTACTGAGATTGCATGCGACAGATAAGTACATGTGGAGACTGAAAAGCTACCTGGTATGAGTCGTAGTCTACCTACAATTTAATAAAAATGACAAATTTTCATAATCTTATCAAGCATATACCTTTTTCAACCCTACTGTTATTTGAATTGCAAAAGTCAGCGTAACACTAACATAATTAGTGTTTGTAAATGTTACAGAAAGCAACGGGTTCATCTCGGCAAAGGACTGGATAAATAGAGAATGTATATATCTAAATATTTGGCACGTAAATAAAAAGCAAGTAAATCTAAATAATTGGCACTCCTACAATAAACCGTGTTGTAGTTCTCACCAACAGGAACGGTTTTTTGTCGCACTTAGACATATCTGTTAGTTTCAAAAAGCAAGACGGTTTAAAGGCAAGAAAACTTCTAAAAGTTGAACAAAATGCAAATAACATGGATAAATAGTTTAAAAGCATAAGTAGTGTAGTGTAACACACGAACATAAAAGAAATACTTACATCAACCAGCTATTTGTGATGACGACTGCTTGTAGTGTACGTTCGTGACCCTCCACTTGAGACAACACGAGGGGATCGTGCTTGGTGTGAAGGAACTCGCCCCTCTATTTGCTGGTGTCGTTGTCTATTTCCAGTTGAATGAGCTACAGAAGCCTGTGGAGGCTTTCTCCATTGTGCTGGAAGTTCACGACCGAAGCTTGCAGGAGAGCGGCTGTGAGAACATGTATGGTCTCTCCTACGGGGAGATAAATATTGAGATGGTGGGCGGTGACGATAAGCATCAGGATCTATCTCTCCACGTCGAACCTTAGATAAAAGTATGCTTGGACAGGAAGGAGACCTGGATCTGGAGTAGGATGATGAACCCCTGCAATATTCACGACGACGGTTGTGGGGATGAGGTGGAGGTGGACTATATGAACAGCTACGGCTAGGACTGCGTGAGTAGTGGTGATCATGTCCTGAAACTTTTGGACGTGATCCAATACCACGTAAAAACGCATCTACTTTTTCTTCATACTGAAAAAATACAGAGAAGAGATGCACGTAAAATTACAATCCAACTGTTAACAACACGAAGAAAATAATACAATTTGAAGCATAATATATGAAGCAAGTAACTAGTAGAAAGCTTACTTTCAGATCATTTTCATGACTTTGGGGAATTTGTAAATAAGCACTTGAACCGGCAACTCGACTTCCCTACAAAATAAATAATTGAATTATTAGTCTGGTTACTAACAAATAATAATCGACGAATTTCGACGTTTAGAATATTTGGCAGACTCAATCAATCTAAGCTATATCACCATTGAAAACGTGGAAGTATTGGACGGCCGTTTCGTTTTAGTATGGGATTCCTCAGAAGTGAACAACATTGGACTGTTTGAGATTGCTTCATGGCATGTAATAAGTTGATTCCTAACATCGAGTTTCCTAATAAATATAATGGTCCCAACAAAATAATAATCGGGGCCTGGAAAATCGAACATAGTATTGCTTCAGTGAATCGGAGAACCAAAAAACAAATTCATACCAGAGTATTAACCATCAAGTAAAAAACAATTGCGACAGATAATCCAAGTATTCTAGCATAATGACTTCAAATACAGAAAAAGGAGCTTGTGTAAAATTACAAAGAGGAAAGGCAAAAAAGCTGGTCCGAATGCCAATTACTGTATACCACGAACACGCTCTATGACTGACCTGACAGTTCAGGATTTAAAATGTGACAAAAGACTTTTTGAAAAAAACCTGTCTATAATAAGTTATGCAAACCCATAGACATAAGAAACATGAAATTCTACTCAAGGCAAAACTCACCAAGTCACCATACATATTTGGTCGCATACCGCGACTAACTTGTTGAACATAGTCGTCATAGTCCTGCAGGGAAAAATTATGACGTATAACTTCGAAATTCACTCACATACCCAAGTCATCAATAAATTACGATCAATAGGGAGAGAACTGGATCGACTACGAGATCTATGCCCGCGAGGTCCTACACACGATAAAAATAGCAAAACAAGTAGATGTTAGATCATAAAATTAGTCATTGAGTAATTACTTACAAGTATATAAACGATCACAACTTGGGTCAATTTCACTGGTGTTTTTTAAGGTTAGTTGGAAAAAGCTTCTTTTATGACAAGACTGTTTTTAAGCAATGGGTGTAACAAAGAGGATAAAACACATTTCTATGATGTCAGTTGCAAGCATATACATGAAAGTTTTGTAGATATTTTTATTTTTAGTTAGGCATAAGCGATACTTTACATTTATATACAAATACAAATGATGTCTCACATAGCACAAATTATAATATTCATTCGAATGAATATTGACAGCTATATGACAACAAATGTAAAATAACCATTAATTCAAAACCGGATTATATCTATTGCGGAAGTACATGTAAAAAAACTCCATTGAATGACTCAACGTAAACATTTTAGAGCTTGTTTGCAAAGTTGAACAGATAAGTGGTTGAAAGTTGAGTTCAGTTGTGCAGAGGAAGTTAAAATATTGAAGGTTTTGGAGATAATAGCATAAACTAATGATTAGAACAGCTGTGACTAAAATCACTTTACGTACAAAATAAACCTCCTTGAAGGCTGAAAACTACACCAATAATTACAATAATTCTCCTTTCATTTCGTCAAGAGGTTCTAAGACCTAAAGCTTATTCAATACTTACTTACTATCGATAGAGTTTCGCTTCTTACATTAGAAGAGAAATTATTTAAGTAGGTACCATATACTCATACTTTCTCAGAACGCTTTATAGCCAAACCTAGCCTTTTAATACTCGATGCACAGACCAAGTGACCAAAAATATTAACGAAGAACCCAACTTCATGTTTGATAATGAAAAACAAAGTATTCAGATATTTTTGGTACCGGGAATAGTAAACGGTAACCGAATGTAGTCCACAGCTCCCTTCTTTACGGTTCTGGCAAGAGCACATATTCGATCACTACCGTTTTACTCTTAACCCAGTGAAGACGAATGCTTTATGTGAAATTTTAAAAGGACTGTGCACAAATCTAAAAGATGAAGGAATCATCAGAAAAATGTCAGTTTCTTAGTTATTAACTGTACAACAATGTTTTTCCGGATTGAGAACTCTGTATGGAGAATTGTTTTAAGACACCTTAGTACACTAAAACGATTGCTAACCTAGAGTTGTAAAGTACTTCTCATGAATTATTGTGGGGAAAAACCTAAATAAAGTCGATTGAACTTCGCGAAAAATGAGGCTGTGTGAACTGGGAGTTTCAGGTTGGTTCTTCAACTTGGTGTGGTATTCAAAGTAACCAAAAGCAACGTCTGACATAGTAAAATCTAACATGAAATATGATCTATTATTATTTCCATAAAAGTGTTACGAAAGTAAACCCTCAACGATTTAGACTGTATGCTCTGGGCGTAAATGGTTCAAGCATTGAAACTGGTCTCTCTTCGACCAATCAGATTCAAAGGAAGATTTCGGATGCTAAAAATCTCCAAAAACACGTTTGTACAGATACCTGTCTTTAGTTCTGTAAGTTTATCCTGACCAATGACTTTGGGATATACTTCATCTAGCTCATTATTGTTCCCTTACGTATCAAGTCGAATAAGGTTAATAGATTGAAGCGTATGGAGAAAGAGTACAACACATTCGAATGATATCACCGGTCTACAGTATGTAAACGATACATACGTTTGGTAAGGAAGTCGATAAAATTGGATCTACTAAATGAAATTGTTCCGGATGAGCTTCAATACATTCGGATATAAAATGTTGCATCTGGACTGGTTGATACATATGTTGACAACACAATGGTGTTTTTGAGCAAGTTGGTTACGTACTTTGGTAATCTTGCCAATTACCACGGGCCGCTGACGAAGTTTCTACCAATTTGTTACCAGGATCCGGTATTTTATGCTGAATATTAGTAATACTTTCCCTGTAGTGCTATGAACATACTTAGGTTCAAATGCTTGTAACCAAGTAGTCTATACTTTACGGTTACGACGAAACGGTCTGGATTGGTGAGTTTACATGCCTATCGATAGACAAACAAACTTGCTTGAGTTACAGGCGATGTACGTCGACAGTTTCCGATTAATTTATGATAATTTTAAAATCCTGATTCACCAAACTTGACAAGAATACGGAAACACGTAACCGACTTGCTCAAAAACATCATCCTATGTTGCCAAAATGAGTATCAGCAAGTCTAGAAGCAACATTTTTCAAGCAGACATATAGAAACTCAACCTGAGCATTTTCAAACAAATAATTTAAAAGATCCATTTATATTATATATAATTTACATACCCAAAGTCATTGAGTCTTCAGCCAAGAGACTAATTCCTTGTCAGGCTATCTGATGCACTTAATTCCAATGACACTCACAAATTTAGATTAGAAAGTAGATTTTGGAGTTAATTACCGTACTTAACCGATGAATCTACAGATAATCCATATTACTTTAACACCTCTTAACCCACGTCATGTTCCCCAAGGATCGAAAATTGTTAAAGACATTAATTATTCAGTAGGTACCTTGGTATGAGTCATACTCTAAGTGGGGGCTGGTGATATTACTTAACCGGCCGAACCAAAGCAAGTGGAGCAAAGTTCATATCAGGGACTGTGACTGGAAGTTAAACTCCCTACCCACTAAGCAACCACTCCACACAGAACATGAAGCAGGTACATCCCTATATGCCTACTATACCAAGTAAATCTAATGAGTTTGTAGGTGTCATTACCAAGGTTTGATTTGATAATTTCGAATAAATTGAGCACTGGGTTGATTGTTATAAATAAAATAATATATTTGTAATATCCCAATGAGTAGAAAATTGGATTTTCTGACGTTTCGTGACTTAGTGTAAGCCACTTCTTCAGAGAATAACAAGTAAATCTAAGGCGAATATGTGGTAAATAAGCTCATGATCAAGTTTGAAAGCTGCTAGGTTTTCACGAATTCTTTAATAAGGTAGTTGGAGAATTTTAGGAGTGTTCGGTCAAATCGTATATCTGCGTTATGTTGGTATATATAATTTCGGAAAACGGTTGAGTTCGGTCAAAACGAAAAACCTCATCAATCAATCAACCCAAAACCTGGTCTCATACGAAATTGTGTAGCGGACGAATATCCGCAAAGTAAGCATGAGCTGTCGGTAGAGACCATATATGAAATAGATCAAAATGGTCGCAGTGAACTGAATACATTTGTCTTCCCCTATATTTTGAATTTGAGTATTAATTTAGGCTTTTCGTCGCACAAGTTAATTTGTCAACTATTATTACTACAGTCCATATCCTATCACCAATGCCATAACAGCCTTTATTTTTTGCCCTTCGTGCCTTTTATAGTCATTCCTGAAATATATTCTAAGCTTGGCTATTATTAAATCGGCCTGAAGCTCTTCTAGAGTTACTGCTGGTCCCAAGCCCAGGTAAAAGAGAAGGGTTGGAGATGGGGTTAGCGACCCCATCCACTGGAAAACTAATTCACCAAGTAAAACGCTAACCAGAAAAATTATTTCAAACCATTTAAACTCTGCCCTGGGAGTTAGAAAGTCTTCATTTATTAGAACTATAACGCCTCATGGTGTAAGCCGAGATCCTTCGGAAGTCACGAGGCTGACGCCCTTTCTAACGACTAGAGCAACAATTTTTATAGGTACATGGAACGTCCGGACAATGTGGAAAACCGGGAAGACCAGTCAAATAGCAACGGAAATCAAGAGATACAAATTGACAGTACTGGGAATCAGCGAAACCCACTGGACCCAAGCTGAACAGCAAAGGATAGATACGGGAGAGATGCTGCTATACTCCGGTCACCAAGAGGAAAATGCTTCACACACAATCAGGGAGTTGTTCTAATGCTGTCCAAAGCAGCACGAAAAGCACTTATACGATGACAAACTCACGGACCCAGAATCATCAAAGCATCATTCAAAACAAAGAAGGAGGGAATTACAGTGAATGTTATCCAGTGTTATGCACCCAACGACGACATTAAAGATCAATTCTATGAGTGGCTACAATCAACCAATCAACCAAAGTTGGAATAGACAGCACCGGGTATGAAAATATCATGGGACGACATGGACTGGGACAGAGAAAAGAAAATGGAGAAAGATTTGCAAATCTGTGTGCATTCAACAAATTGGTCATAGGGGGCACAATATTTCCACACAAGCGTATACACAAGGCTACATGGCTCTCATCGGACCACACCACAGAGAACCAGATAGATCATATTTGCATCAATAAAAAATTCCGAAGGACAATGGAAGATGTGAGAACCAGGAGAGGTGCTGACATAGGTTCAGATCACCACCTAATTGTAGCCAATTTAAAACTGAAACTAAAAAAGAACTGGACAACTGGACAAACAGCAATATAAAGGTTCAATAGAGACTTCCTTCGAGATACTGACAAACTCAGTGAATTCAAGATAGCTCTCAACAACAGGTTCCAAGCCTTACAAGAACTACTGAAGGAAGAAGAAACTACTATGGAGGACAACTGGAAAGGCATCAAAGAAACATTGACTTCAACGTGTCAGGATGTTCTGGGTCGCATGAAGCATCATCATAAAGAATGGAATTCTATAGAAACACTGGACAAGATCAAAGAAAGGAAGAACAAGAAGACAGCAATTAGCAACAGCCGAACACGAGCAGAGAATATTCAAGCACAAACTGAGTACATAGAAGTAAACAAGCAAGTGAAGAGCATTAAAGCCGACAAGCAGAAATACGTGGAAGAACTAGCAACGATGGTGGAAAGAGCCGCAACAGAAGGAAATATGAAACAGCTTTACGATACAACGAAGAAAGTAGCGGGCAAATATAGTAATATAGAGAGACCAGTCAAAGACAAAAAACGCAGGCCAACCACTGATATTCAAGAACAGAGGAACTCTTGAATAGACCAGCTCCACTGAAACCACCGGACATTGAACCAGCACACACAGATTTTCCTACAGATGTCACTCTACCAACGACCGGAGAAATCAGGATGGCCATCAGACAAATCAAGAACGGGAAAGCAGCAGGACCTGACAATATACCAGCTGAAGCACTGAAGTCAGACATCGAAGTAACTACAAACATGCTTTACCTTCTATTCAAAAAGATTTAGGAGGAACAAGTGCTGATGAACTGGAAAGAAGGACACCTCGTCAAGATTCCAAAGAAAGGAGATCTGAGCAAATGTGAAAACTACAGAGGCATCGCATTACTGTCAGTACCAAGAAAAGTCTTTAACAGAGTGTTGCTGAACCGGATGAAAGATGCAGTAGACGTCCAACTTCGAGATCAACATGCTAGATTCCGTAAAGTTCGGTCGTGCACGGACCAAATTGCAACACTACGGATCATCGTCGAACAATCAGTTGAGTGGAACTCGTCACCATACATCAACTTCATTGATTATGAAAAGGCGCTTGACAGTGTACATAGGAGAACATTATGGAAAATTCTTCGACACTATGGAGTGAGTACCTGAGAAGATTGTCAACATCATCCGGAACTCATACGACGAACTACAGTGCAAAGTAGTGCATGGAGGACAGCTGACAGATGCATTGTAAGTAAGGACCAGAGTCAGACAAGGCTGTCTACTCTTATCCTTCCTTTCTTCTGGTGGTCGACTGGATTATGAAGACCTCGACATCTGAGGGAAAACACGGAATACAATGGACAGACCCGAACCAATTAGACGATTTGGACTTCCACAGATTACCTAGCCCTCCTACCCCATACACACGACAACCAGTGTAGCAGCAGTCTCTGTATCAGTAGGCCTCAACATACACAAGGGAGAAAGCAACATCCTCAACTATAACACGGAGAATACCAACCCAGTCACACTTGATGGCGAAACTATGAAAGATGTAGAATCCTTCATATACCTGGGAAGCATCATCGATGAACAAGGAGGATCAGATGCAGACGTAAAGGCGAGGATTGGCAAAGCAAGGGTCGCATTCCTACAATTGAAGAACGTATGGAACTCAAAACAACTGTCAACCAATATCATAGTCAGAATCTTCAATACGAACGTCAAGGCAGTTCTACTGTACGGAGCTGAAACTTGGAGAACTACAACAACTACCATCAAGAAGGTACAAGTATTCATAAACAATTGTCTACGTAAGACAGTGTCCGCTGGCCTGGTGCCATTAGCAACAGCCTTTTATGGGAGAGAACAAATCAGCTTCCAGCTGAAGAGGAAATTAGGAAAAGACGATGGAAATGGATAGGACATACATTACGCAAATCATCAAACTGCATCACGAGACAAGCCCTAACTTGGAATCCTGAAGGGAAGCGGAAAAGAGCATACTGTGTCGAGAATTGGAAGCAGACATGCAAAGGATGAATAACAACTGGAAGGAGCTGGAAAGGATCGCTCAGGACAGGGTTGGATGGCGAGTGCTGGTGGGCGACATGTGCTCCTCCACGAGGAGTAACAGGCGTATATATAAGAATACGAAACAAAACATTAATAAGCGTTCGACTAACATGTTGCTCGTTTTGATTATCACACATCTATGGGTTGTCAGTGGAAGTAACTAACCAGCAGAGTTTCTTGTCAACCAATCAATCAGTAACAACGTAGAACTTCGTACGTACGTACATTAGTTCGAGTTGCCACACCACATTAGCATAGAGATGCAGTGATCGATTCAAATCCCGTGGTGGTAGAGGTAATAAGAGTATAAGCAGTAATCGGGAAGATTAGTGTTTGAAGATGTTACTTAAAGAGTATAATACAGTGAAATAAATTTGGGAAGAGAAAAAAGAGACAAGGAGGGATAAGGAGATCAAAATTTGGGAGAACACACAGAGTGTATGCACCTGTGCCATTGCAAACGATTTTGAGCCATGTCATTCAGGGTCTCTAACCAACGGTTGCTATCATCTCGCGGTCCCCAACCAGGTAGTCTACACCTACCGACATGACAGACCACTTGTCAGTGACTTCATGCATTTGTGCCATGTTTCGGTCTGGCCGCCCCTAGCTTTCTTCCAACTTACTCCTACCCCACAGAACATCGCACGTCGGGGCATTCGGTAATTGGGCATACGTAACACGTGTCTCAGCCATCTCAACTGATGAAGTTTCACTACGTCATCAATTGATTTGCCATCCTTACCTAGTACCCGTTTCCTAACAACTGCATTACTTACTCGATGGTCCCAGGATATACGAGCAATATTTCGAAGACACCTATGATCAAATACTAGTAACCTACGAACATCCTCTACTCTTACCGGCCATATTTCACAACCATAAAGTAAGATGGAACGAACTGCTGTGCAGTAAACACGTCCTTTGGTTGATAGACGGATATCTCGCCTACGCCATAAATGACGCAAGTTGGCAAAAGCTAGTCGAGCCTTCTGTATCCGTGCTGAGATTTCGTCACACACCATACCACAAGGGCTGATGAGACTTCCAAGATAAGTAAAGCGATCGACACGCTCAATTACTTCACTCCCTATCATTAGTTCGGGTGTCAATGCAACCCAATCCTGAAGATACATTTTGCATTTCGAGGGGGAAAATCGCATTCCGAACATGCTTGCATTGTTGCTTAGAGTGGTCAAAAGACTGCATTTTGCCAGCGTCTTCACCAAATAAAACTATGTCATCAGCATATTCTAAGTCAACAAGTGAACCTCCCGGTAGAAGTTCAACCCCTGGAAATCTAGACGAAGAAAGTGTTATCTCTAAAAGCACGTCAACGACAAAGTTGAACAAGAATGGAGAGAGTGGACAGCCCTGACGAACGCCACTTGTGGTAATCAATTCTGATGACAGTTCGCCATAAGCTCTCACTCTACCAGTTGTGTTCGAGTAGAGAGCCTGTATAAGGTTAATGTACTTCTTTGGTACTCCTTTCAGTGAGAAACATTGCCATAGAACCTCACGATCAACAGAGTCGAATGCCGCCTTAAGGTCGAGAAATACTACCATTGTGGGGCGTCTGAACGTGTGTCTGTGTTCTAGAACCTGACGTAGTGCGAATATCTGATCTATACAACCACGTCCAGGTCGAAAGCCAGCCTGATTTTCCCTAGTCTGCTCTTCACGAGCTTTGGTTAGGCGTCGAAGTATTATTGAAGCTAATATTTTAGACACTATATTAATCAAACTGATTCCTCTGTGATTGTCACGAGGACTTTTGTCTTTTCTTGTACGCACTTATCAACCAGCCACATGATATTCTCTTAGCACTATTAATTGATCAGCGATGGGTTATTTGAACACGAGGTTCGATGGCTTACAAATACATAATCGGAGTTACATAGATCCAATCAGTGGGAAATCATTTTACATGATATTCAGTCAACTGATGACGTAATTATGACTGTGCACGCTATGAAGAACTTTTACTGATGTTTGAAATAATAGTTCACCAGTGTTTATGTATGAGTCACATTACAAAGGGCGTTACTCGACGAATATACTTCGACACTAAGCGATTCACGGACGAAATATGCACGAACCAGAAAGCTAGAAACAACAGAAATATTTTGACTCACTTTCATAATTTCCATGCCTTGATGTTATTTCACGCCTCCTTGACGATAGAAACCAAACCAAGAGTTCCCATGTGAGCGAAGACACATTATTGAAAATGAAAACAAATGTTAATGCAAAATACGTGAAAACAGGGAATTAAATACCCACAAACATCCTTTACCTGTATTATTCCTAAAAAGAAATGGATTAAATCATATGCCACCAAACATTAACTTCACTTCAGGAAATGAAGACTAACAAAACCTCAACACAAGCAAACTTAAGCCAAATTTCACTTACAAAATGGACATATTTGATGTACACAAGAACCTCTGAAGATTTTTAGTTCTTCACGTGCCTACTATCATAACTATGTTAGTAACCGGACATTCAAAAATATGAAATCTAGTGTTAATTGTTCATGGAAGCCACATGTGGCCATGGTACAAGCAAGTTGCTAGCATCAAAAATGAAAAAAATTCAACAGTTCACGTAAAGCACGATAAAACAATGTGGTTAACTAGATGTGAAACAGTCCATATATAAATAATAAATAAATTAGCACAAATTTTTGATTCTTGTGTCCACTGTTCAATAACACCTAACCTCGGGGAATGTGACTTCCGTCGAATTGTTTCAAATCGTGAAGACTCTTCTTCTACATAACCGTCAGTTCTCCGATGCCTTGGATTACGTTCACGAGCATAACTGTAAGCTGTGCTGTCGCTAGCAGAACGCGAACGACTTCTTTCGGCATGAGATTTTACAGGCACACTGTTTGCCACAGGATTGAGTGGTATTCCTGGTCGACTTATCACATTAGGATTGGATAGGCTACGAGCTTGTTGTATTGCTTGTGAAAGAACAGCACCTGCGGCGGCATTCGCCGCTGATCCAGATATACGAAGTTGCTGTTGTTGTAAAAACGGAAGCAGGGTTGCGTTAGAGGAACTAGATACATTCAAACGTGAGAAAGAACCGCCTGAATTTGGGAAGGCTGAGAATATGTTAGGGAAATTAGGTGGTTGTATGGGCAGTCTGGAGTTCATTGTGGGATTGAGAGTGTTCGCTCCACTTCGGGCAAAAGCACCTATTGACTGTGGTCCAGATGATTTGATTGCAGCCATAGCTGCAGCTGCTGCCATTGCAGCGGCAGCTGCGTTTACTTGCAATAGTGGTGTAGTTCCCGTTGAGGTTAGCCGCGAACCATCGTTGTTGATCAAAGGTGTTATAGAAGGGTAATTCATCAAGCTCCTTCGTTCAGTAGATGCCATATATCGTTGGTTTGTCCCAGTAGCATCCCCCAACAGTCCAGTGTTGTCTTGATTGCTCAACCCAACAACACGAGAACCATTATGACTCGTTTGACCATGGCGACCAACGATTTTTCCAAGTCTCTCAAATGCGTTTCTACGACTGATTCTTTCGCCAATAGCTTGAACTGTGTTCGGCTGTTTCTGTTCTTCCCCAAGTTCATCTTTACCGAAACACCGGCATAGTGCCTCGCCACATGTAGGTTCGATTTCCTGAAATGCAATGAGTTGATATTCAATATACTCACCTGACCATCTCTCCCGATTTTCACAGGTTTGTCTTCATTCCATGCATTCAAGAGATGCCCAGTCTTTGTGAAAGGGAGGTCAGACCTAGCAATCAAAACAACTGAAATGAACAACAAACTTGGATATCCATTTAATTCGAAAAGGATTACTCAGGAGACCTGTATTCATACGTGAAGATAACACCCAGTCAACCTTGATCCGAGGGTCTGACGAGGCGATAATGCGCGCAAATCCTTGAAATCTACCACTCTCACGCACAGAAAATATGAGCAAAACATTGTTGTAGTCAAAAAATGCTTTATTCAGTCTTGTCTCATTGCCCTTTGTCGTAGCCCATACATTCCGAGACTTCGCTATTTCGATATTCTCAAAATTATTGCTCTTGATAAGAAAATACTTTGTAGAACGGAAAAGACGCGAATCAATGTGGTTTCCTCTTTCACTTGTGCAGGTATGCCCTCTGACACCAGAAAACCGAACTGAGTTTTGGGCTTCTTCCTCTTTAGAAAACTCATCACCTGGGACGTCGGCATGAAGTTCGTCTCTATTCTCGCTTTCTTCATCAGAAACTCTGTCCCATTCAATCGGTGAAATTGCTTTTCTGTCGGTTATTTCATTGGTAGCAGAAGTGACATCCTCAAAAGGATCGACATCCTCTGATGTAACGGTAGAGGTTTTGACGAAACTATTTTTTTTCGTGTTGATAGAAAAATCACCACTCCCCTCTTCCGAATCGTTAAAGCCTTCAACTGCAGTGTGGAACTCACTAAAGCTACCGGTTTCGTTAGAATGGGTTTCATATGACAAGTCGTGATTTTCGTCTGATCTACCTAACAGTTCGTCTTCATCCTGGATCCTGGATTTTTCGTCCCAATCGCGCTGTCCAGTTTCATCCATTGCACTGCCTTTAACAACATCATTCTTGTCTATGTTAGACGTAAGTAATGACACAAAACTATTAACATACCCAAGATACCCTCTTTTGTTTCAGGAACATCCGATGATCGACCACATAACATTTCCCGCTGAAAGATAAACCCTCGTCCAATATCCAAACCACTACCAGGAATTCAACATATAAAAACGCTGCTTATTCCAAAAATAAATCCAGTGGATTCTTTCAAGTGATATATTCTGAAATGAGAGTAACTTATGTTTATGATTTCATGTGGCAATTCCATTGCTCACATGTGACACTCATCTCTTCTATTCTCTTCTTATTTGTAGGGGTAGATAAATCCCCAAAATTAATGGTCCTGTAAGTCTTCAACATTTGATACCGACCTCATTGATTTCACTGAACTCCCCTGGATTATTGTGTTTGGTCTTGCATCCGCACCAGATCACGAGACTGTGCTACACACCTCAAAATCAATAGCTCTGTTAGTCTTCAACATTGGATGGTGACGACACTGGTTTTAATAAACTCACCTAGCTGAAGGCGCTCGGTCATGCATCCGCAACAGATAACGACTGGAAACGCCGTGCTCAACATCCCCTACAGTCGATAGCCAGATAAGATCTTTCGATCCTCTTTATATTGGTAGTTTATCGAATATATCTTCGAACCTCCTCTTTTCGGTCTTTTGATTTCACTTGGTAGGTACGATTCATATTAGGAGGTGCTACTGTTTAAAGCGTTGTCAAACTCCAAATGCCCATGGCATCTTCAACATCTTCGAACCTCTTCACTTCCAAATTCTGATTTGACTTGATTGACATACTTCGATTATAAAGGTATTACTTATAATTGCGTTGTTAAACTCTGAACACCCGCGGCATCCTTATAATTGGCTAAACTCACCCGGTATGATCTAGTACTGCAACTGAGTGGATGGACTGACATTGTTCTGTTTCACAATGATCGATTAATTATTCAAGATTTATAGAAAATATAGCATTCGGAAAATTATGCATCAGTATAACACGATTGTTTAGTATCGAGCATGATTAGTGGTGAACAAAACAAAAACCGTGAGCTGGCCCCAAGAGTTATCCCTGAGAACTAAAATTATATAGATCTTGTGATGGGCCACATCTGGCTAAGCCAACTGTTCATTAATTATTTAAATTACATTCACACTAAATTATTGACTAAGTCAACTGCTGCCCACTGAATGCATGCACATCTTACTATTGACTAGGCATTTAATATATATATATATATATATACACCTTATTTTCGATTCTGAGATCATTTTAAACTAGCGGTCAGGGATCAAATAAATTGTCAAATACTGTTTTGTTCTCATACCGGCATAGGATCAGCCTTCAACTCTTTGGACAGTAATATTCTCTGGGATTGCCTGTTGAAGACGCATGTGATTTGGACTTCTTTAATCACCCTTTTGGCCTTATGTGAGAACAACTAAGGCAGAATGAATGCGTACAATGTATACAGAACTGAAATGTTCGTGTTGGGTAGGTTGATCGAACCGATATTCCAATGGAAGTCGATTCTAGGAGAAAGCTAATGTGACAACCAATAGAAGAAACCAGACTTGTATTGAATAGGTTTTTAATTCGAACTCTTGTAAGGTGTAGTGGAGAGCAGGGTTACCTTTTCAAACACACAGCGCCTCTTGACATTCATTAAGTAGCAACAGGAAATGTAATCCCCATACAAAATAAGGAAGTGAATGAACACTTGAGCTCTATTGTCTTGACAATTAACTCATTCAGTGTTTGACTTCCAATTAATGACGACCAACTCCTTCGGTATTCGACGACACTCCATGGATGTCTTTTTCCTTTCTAGCTTGTTATCTCACCTCGTAGAATTTAATTTCTTCCACAACTACCGCGTATGATTTGCTGCATGCCCTCTATATGGTAACAAGATCTCGGAAGAGAAAAGGGGGGTAAGAAAATGAAACAAGAACAAGTGAGGAAGTGCCGCGAGCGGGCTACCTAACACCATGTTGGAGTGGTATGATTTTCCATGCTCTGTCCGGCTATCAGGCATTTACTCACCTGCATATTAAGTCACTCTCATTTAAAAATATGGAAGAATCTGCCTCAAAAAATGATGGAAGACGGTCAAACCTGAAGAGCTACCTCACTGCCTATATAGATGTTAGTATATTCGGAAAAATATACTAATAATTATCATGTTAAGTCTATGGTGGCCTTCGACTTTAAATGTACGCTCCCTATTGGTCAGTATTTATTTCACATATTAAATATTGTACAAATGTTGTTTTCTATTTTGTGGTACGATGTGGTTTGTTTGATTGGTATATAAACAGAGTATGTCTGAAATGTAATGATCCATATCTCAGAGGCTGATACTCGCATTCCGGACTCAAGTGGCTGGGCTAGACAAGGAAGCAGGGTCAATCGAAACTCTAGGCCGTTCTTGCGTGTCTTACGTGTCATTATTCCGATCGATAAGTCGCTGCTCCATAATCAGCATTTACCCCCACAACAATAGAATAATACCGTTCAAAATGGAAATTAAAAGTTAAAAAGACGAAGTTCAATGAAGGGACCTTTTCCTTACGAATTTATAATCAAGCTGTCAGTCGTATTACACTTGTTAATTTAAATCAAAGCCATCAGCACCTAAGAGTGTAGCTAGTGAGGTTATGCAAGAGAACAAGCTGGAGACTTTAATTCGTTATGTTGTTGTTAAATAAATATAATCTATAAAAGTGAATATCAGTTCGTTCCTTCAGATATATTGAGTAATCCTCAAAGTATTTTCCAAAGTGACATCGCTTTCACGTTACACACCAGATGCAATCTGAGCATAATTGTGTTAGGATATTGGTCGGGCTATGTATTCATGCAATGCAACATTTAAGTTTATGATTGTTATAAATAGACTTGTAGAGCGCTTGGTGTGAACTATGACCTTGAGAAAACGCGTATGTCGAGTTTGTTCCAGATGTCAGACGTTCCGTAGCTGTACCGTCAAAGAAAGATTCTGAAAAAACAGAGAAACTGACGATCAGCAAGGTACTTGAATATGAACGGTGAACAATACTTAACATTACGTATTGGAACAGACAGGATGTCTCCCTAAAGTCATGAAAATTCGTAGTTTTCCACAAACTTTGGGGAAATATTGACAAAAACATAAAAATTTTGGGGATTTCCCGAAAATGACTTGAAATTATAAATAAAAAGCCCCACTTCGGGGTAATTTTGGTTTTTTGATTGCATCTCCCCAAGGTTTTTCAATGCAGCTTCCTCGAAACTGATAAAGTTTTCCATGAAAGCCGGAGATCAGAGACTGCTGCATCGAGCAGTTCAAAATCTGGCATATTACTAGGATAGATATTAAATGTGATAAGTCTGTAACCTTTTCCCAAAGTATATTATATTATATTATATTCACATGGAGTTACGAAAGGCAACTCTGTTCAGAAACACACACGTATAAACGGTATATTTCATACTGTATGTCGAGATATCAGTTAAATATATTCATATCATACATGACCATGTGCATATAATTACAGACCCGTCTTGACTATCTGACAGAACCCTAACCTATTATTTCCAAATCATTCATAAGCCTATATGATGATAATTTTTATTTTAGATTGTGCATACTACAACTTACGTTGTGTTTGGATGCCATAACCCTCATACTTTCTGGATTAATTGGTTCAATTCAGACCCCTATCTTAACACTTAGAAATGTATAACCATATATGATTTGGTACTTATGGTCTAGACTTTGTACACTGTCCTATATAATATCCTTTAAATTGTATTTGTATGCTATAACTCCTTTTCTGAGATTACCTGTTCACTTCGGTGTGTTACAGTTTTTGTTCAGTACTTTGGTTGTATGATATCATATTAATTCTAGACGGTGTTAATCCTCTTTAAAACTACATATCGCTGCACTTTCTAATTCTAACTGAGGCTAGTTTTCAGTCAATATATGTACCACATACACAACCCATTTTGAACATTTAATACTGAGTATCTGTAGTGCTAGATTACTTTTTTGTATAAAACATATCTTTCCATGTGATCTTTGGGTTAAATGTATCCAAAGTACACAGTTTTGTTCTGTTTTACATCCAAACATGTACTTACGTATTGCACCTCTACTATTATCTTCCTGCCATTTCTTCCTCTTGCATTTGTCATCTTCCTTAATGCTTGCGAAACCCTCACACTTGTTTCAAACACAGGTCTTGATTTTCGAACTAACTTGAGCACTCCACCTTGATTGTTTCATCTCTCTTCTATTTCAAAACTTTCTTCAATCCATTTGCCACTAATTATTTTCTAATCATGCCTCGTAAAAATTTGAATGTCTCTTCCTCCAGGCGTCCAGACGAACGTGGGATAGATGACGTACAGTTTGCTAAGAGGATAATACTTGACTCCATAAAAGTATCTATAGTAACAGTATTAAGAACTGTAATCTCAATCACTTTTTAAAACAATGAGTGTGTAGAATTATGGTCTACTCCGTTGTTTGTATTACTAAAATAATAGACTTAATCCTTAGGTTGTAGATATGTCATGATGTGACTGCCTAATATATAAGATTTTACGTGGAAGTCACATCATTGTCTACATTGACTCATCGTATCATAACGATTAACATATCGGAAGTTTCTAAACACATTTAGGCTAAAGATAGAATAATATATTTAATGTGAGTAAAGACAAGTTATATAGAGTGACCACGCCAGCAAGGCTGAGAGATGCCACCTGATGTAGTTGAATTAATTCTTCCCACCTTCTCTGTTGTTGGTATTTTCTCTGCCTTAAATGCTGAATATCTATTTTCCCAGTTATCTCGTGTTCAGTGTTGATGACTTTTTGTTTAGGGCCCAATGCCGCCACAAGTATTTCTAGTTCTGGACACGTGCTTCAATTCAAAGATGAAAAATGCACAATTCAGGTCAGTCCATACAAAGAAATCAAAAAGGGTAATGAATCAATTTCACAACCGCCATAACCACAATATCAAGTAAAATAACACAATTTAAGACAACCCAAATGGAGTCATCTATAGCATCAAAACATTCAGTCTCAAAGTTTCAATCTTGGATTTTCAAAT